GAGAGTCAACGGAGCAATTAAGAAGGGCAGGGAAATTGCACGCTACTCCTGAGCATGTGCCGAGTGGCTGCAGCCAAACATCCTTTCTTGTTCGCCAGGGTGATGCAGCTGCTTTCAACAGCAACCTTCTTATTTCCAAAGGGTTTCATGCAGCTGTCTTAATCGTGTGATTTGCTCTCCCTCTCTTCCTTTCCCCAAATCCTGGTTTCTCCTCCTCGCAGGCCGAGGACAAGGAGATAATCGTGTGTGCCATCCGGACGTGCAGCCGCCTCTTCGGAGCTTTACTCACACGGGGGGAGCTCTTTGTTGGCAAACTTCCCTCTGAGGAAGACTCTGTCCAAGGTAAGAGGATGGCCTTGGGGGAAATCAACAGTGGGTGTGGTAAACAGGACAGCACCGCCATAGATTTAACTAAAGGTAGGGCACTATGGACCGTTTCTGAGCGTGGGCAGAGTGCCTGTGGCTGAGCATCTTCTCTGATTCATCAGGAAGATGCAGCTGCTTTCAATGGAGTTTTTCCCCTGGAGTTTTCTTGTAGCATTCCTGTTTGGGATAATTTGTAAGGCTGCGCATGCTTTAAACTTCTGATTTGGCAGAAGTTGCTTTGGACCTTGGGAGCACAGTCCCTCTGGGTTCATTAAAGCAGCTGGATCATTTTTCCTGGAGGTTGGGGTTTGTTTGTTTTTTGCAACATTCCTTTTTGGGATAGTTTTTAAGGCTGTGCATGCTTCAAATCTTATTTGACAGGAGTGCTTTGGACCTCAGGTATGCTCAGCGCTTCTGGGTTCATTAAAGCAGCTGGATCATTTTTTCTTCCAGGAGGTTTTTTTTTTTTGCAACATTCCTTTTTGGGGTAGTTTTTAAGGCTGTGCATGCTTCAAATCTTATTTGACAGGAGTGCTTTGGACCTCAGTTATGCTCAGCCCTTCTGGGTTCATTAAAGCAGCTGGATCATTTTTTCTTCCTGGAGTTTTCTCACAGCAGACATTTTGATGTAGTTTTTAAAGCTATGCGTGCTTGAAACCTGATTTGGCAGAAGTTGCTTTGGACTTCAGGGGAGCACAGCCCTCTGGGTTCATTAAAGCAGCTGGATCTTTCTTTTTAAAGGTGTTACAAGAGCTTTCCCGAATCTTACGCATTAAAACAATTTTGATTGCAATTTTGTGGGGCAACTTATTCGTGGCTGGGTTTATATGGTTAGCCGGTGACCTCCCAGTGATCAGCATAGGCAGCTTCTCTTCATTTTTTCTCCGATGCACGCCTTGTTTTATTTCAGGAAATTACAGCGCAGAAGAGAAATATAAAATTTGGATGAGACATCGCTACAACAGCTGTACCACTTGTCTGGGGGAACTGATGGGGCACGAAGCTTTCCAGGTCAAAGTGAGTTTGCCAAAATGATTAGCAGCTTTTCATCTGGTGAATTATTGCAGAAAATAGTCTAGCAAAAGTAAAACAAAAACAAAAAAAAGGATTTATAAACAAATTATTTCTGTTTGTCCTTTCCACTTGAGGAACATGCTAAAAAAAATAAAAAAAAGTTCTAGGCTTCTTTCTCTCAACATTTCCCCAAAAGTGGAAATCCAGCACGTCAGGGAAAACGACCTAATTTTTTTTGTTGTTGTTCCCCACTGGGCATGCTAGCTTTCTACATGCAGGGAAGTCATGCTTTTCATCTGGAGGAACGTTTTGTGAATCTTCATCTGCCTTGCAGAAGCCAGAGGAGCAAAATGAAGAGGTTATAACCTCAAATGCAAAACATTCTAATTTTCTAAGCGCCAAACGCCAGAAATTCTGGGGTATGGTGCAGTTCAGCATAAGCTGGGCTATTTCTTCCCTAGCAAATATTTATTTTATTTTACTGTGTCCAACTCTGTATTAAAAGGGTTCTTTGCCCCTGAGAAGCACAACTGTATAAAGTCAACAAGAGCAAAAAAAAATTATTTTGGCTTTGGCTGTAATCTCACCATTGTCTCTCTTTGTCCCAAATCTGTACCTTAAATCAATGAACTAATTCCCACATTGCGTTAAATGAGTGTTTTTCAAACTTGGCTACTTTAAGAAGGGTGGACTTCAACTCCCAGAATTCCCCAGCCCTTTTAAAGTAGCCAGGTTTGAAAAACACTTAACTTAGTTCAATGGGTCCTGGTCGATTCCTGTTTAGCCTCTTTTGCGCGTTTAGCTAATTGAGGCTTATTTTGTAAACCACAATGAAGCAGTGACTTAGCGCCTCCCAGCTTTTTAGCTTCCCAAAGTGTTAAAAATGCTGCAAGATTCTTGAAGAATATTTTGCGAGAGGGGGGAGGAATAAATGGATTTAATATTCAATATCTCTTTTGCTCTCCTGCTTTCTTACCTGTCTATTTTGGTGGAAGGAAACTGCTCTTTGTACCCTGATGAAATTTGTTGAATTGGAAGCCAAACATCCTTTGGTCAAGAACGAATGGAGTTTCAATTTCCCCCGGGAACTTTTACAAGTAAGTTGTCTGAATTCTGAGACGGGTCGTTCTGGATTTACCTTAAACTTTGGTTCCTGTTGTCTGAATTCGAACGTGCGACGACGCAAAATAAGACAGGGAGTACTCAACAACAGTTTGTTTAGGGACCGTTCAGAGTTACAACGGCACTGAAAAATGTGACTTATGAGCATTTTTCACACTTAACGACGGTTGGGGCATTCCCGTGATCAAAATTCAGATGCTTGGCAACTCGTATTTATGACTCGTATTTAGGATGGCTGCGGTGTCCTGGGATCACGTGATTCCCCTTTTGTGACCCGCTGAGCAGCAAACTCAATGGGAAACCAGCTTCATTTAACAACCGTGTTACTAATTTTAGCAACTATGGTGATTCACTTAATACCTGTTGCAAGAAAAGGGGGATAAAATTCACTTAACAGAAATTTTGGATTCAGCTGTGGTTGTAAGAAGCAACGGATGGAAACTAAACAAAGAGAGAAGCAACCTAGAACTAAGGAGACATTTCCTGACAGTTAGAACAATTAACCAGTGGAACAACTTGCCTCCAGAAGCGGTGAATGCTCCAACACTGGAAGTCTTTAAGAAAAGACTAGATAGCCATTTGTCTGAAATGGTATAAGGTTTCCTGCCTGAGCAGGGGGTTGGACTAGATGACCTCCAAGGTCCCTTCCAACTTTATTATTATTGATCATCGCACAGTCAGCCAGATGTTCAGACTGGATTTGGCATTTTTGTCTACCTATCGAGTCCTTACCAAGGATCTGGGATAGGCAGATGTGGATGTTTGATGGTATTACAGATATTGTTGCAGGATGGAAGCAGTTCCTAGCAAGGCCGCCTTTTGCAATTGACTAATGGTGAATTTGTCAATGCCAATTTATTATGATTATGATTATTATTATGATTATGATTATTATGATTATTATTATTATTATTATCATGATTATTATCATGATTACTATTACTATTACTATTACTATTATTATTATTATTATTATTATTATTATTATTATTATTATTATTATTATTACTGTTGTTTGTTGTTATTTCGAGGACTGCCTGGGATATTTTTCTTGATTCAGCGCTCGGTTCCATTTCTTCGTCCTCTGCCCTGTCTCTCTCCCCCCCCATTCTGAGAAAACTAGCAGATTTTGAGGATCCTGACGGGATGAACTCTCTCCAAATTCTTTGTTATACTTCCCCCAAACTTTTTTTTTCGGGGCGGAGGGGAGGGTTCCCCACCTCTAGGAGAGAGAATTTAAATCTGCCAGGAAAGGCCTGAGGATAGTGCAAATGTGATCTCCATTCTCTCTGCGCCCTTTCAGGTGGTGGTGGAGGGTCTGATCCAGACGGATCAGAATTCCTCCCTCCTGATCTCGCGTTTCCAGGAGTACATGGAAGAGGACGATGTCCGGTTCTTTGTGATGAAGGCGGTGGCCGAAAACGTGGGCAACGTGATGACAAAGGCCAAACAGGTACCTTGACGTCCTTGCTGAGAGCGGAACTCGGCTTTATGTGCTTCTTTTTTTGAGGGTCGGATCGGGCACCTCTTGGGGGTCAATGCCACTGCAGCCAGTTCTGTTCTGTCTCCTAGGATTTCCTTGGCAGGAACAGCATGGTTGAAGGCATGTAGAATATGCCTACTAAAACTAAACCTCTGTGGCCATCTCACCCACCTCTTCCTCTCCATAAACTCCATTCCTGCCTAGCACTGATGATGTTACCTAGTTGGGTCTTGAAATGTCTGCAAGGAAACAACCAAGCTCAGACAGCAACAAGGACCCCACAGTCCTCCTCCTCCTCCTCCACTAACCCCACTCCCTTCTAGCACTGATGATGTTACCTAGTTGGGTCATGAAACATCTGCAAGAAAACTACCAAGCTCAGAAGGCACCAAGGTCCCCTCAATCATCCACCACCTCCACTCCAGAAACCCCACTCCCTCCTCCTCCTCTTCCTCCTCCTCCTCTTTTCCTCCCCTTCTCCTCCACTCCACAAATCCCATTCCCTTCTAGCACTGATGATATTACCTACTTGGGTCATGAAATGTCTGCCAGAAAACCACCAAGCTCAGAAAGCGCCAAGGACCCCGCAGTCGTCGTCGTCGTCATCGTCCTCCTCCTCCTCCTCCTCCTCCTCCTCCTCCTCCTCCTCCTCCTTCCTCCTCTCTGCAAACCCTACTTCCTTCAAGTGCTGATGATGTTCCCTAGTTGGGTCATGAAACATCTGCAAGAAAACAACCCAGCTCAGAGAGCACCCAGGACCCCACAGTCCTCCTCTTCCTCTTCCTCCATTATTATAAAAATATTTCTCCATTGTTATGAAACTTTTCTCCTATTAGTCCTCCTCCTCCTCCTCGCCGCAAACCCAACTCCCTTCTAGTACTGATGACGTTACCTAGTTGGGTAATGAAACATCTGTAGGAAAACCACCCAGCTCAGAGAGCACCAAGGACCACACAATCCTCCTCTTCCTCCATTATTATAAAAAAATATATTTCTCCATTATTATGAAACCTTCCTCCTCCTCCTCCTCCATTCTTATGAGAAAAATATCCTTCTCATTCTCCATTATTATGAAAACATCTTCACTTTCTTTTCTTCCTACTTCTCCATTATTATGAAAAAAAAATATCCTGTTCCTTCTCCATTGTTATAAAAACTCCTCCTCCTTCTCTTTTACCAGTTCAAGAGGAGTTCTGTGCCTTTTTCATGTAGTCACTTACTTCATTCTTTTAACTGTTTGAAAATAAAAGGAACAGAAAAAAAGAAAGTTATAAGAGGAGGAGGTGATGGGGCAAGTTTTTCACTCCCCTGAGCTCCTTGCAAGAAAAAGGCAAGATAAAAAAATAATTTCCCAAATAGGACAGAATCGCATCGTGAGGAATATTTTGTTGGCTTTTAGCGGCTGGGGCAGAGAAGAAGAAAAAAAAAAGCACCTTGCGCTACATTTGGTCCTTGCCTCAAAGCATTTAAAGCGTCTGCAGTTTTATTGGTCTGTTTTTTTTTCCTTCCCACAGGCTCCTTTTCAGATTTACCAAAACAATGCCTTCAATCTCCTTTCGTCCGTGGTCATGCCGAGTGAGGAAAGCGAGATAAAAAAATTTCTGGTGGAACACGGTGAGCGAAATGTCCTGGTTTCTCGCATCTGTTTGTGATCTTGGCAGATGTGCCAAGAGTGGACTCAGCTTATGCATGGTTTAAGCCAAGGGGGTCAAACTCAATTTCATTGAGGGCCGCATCAGCATTGCGGTTGCCCTTGGGAGGGGGTCCTACTGGGTGGGCATGGATGGAGTGGGTGTGGCCTACTGGGTGGGTGTGGTCCAGCTCTACATCATTCGCGTCAAGGGGGCCTGTGGGGGGCCTGGGCAGGAGTGGGACAGATCTGAGGGTGTCTGGCAGAAGGGGGTGGGACCCCAGAGCAAGTGCCAAGGCATGGTCCACTGGAGGAGCCTCACTGCCTGCTGAAACCCCTCCGCTGGAGCCCATCGAGCCGGATATGTGAAGTAGGCGAGGGCCATTTGCTGGCCACTTCCAGGTGATGGTGCATTTCTTCATTCCTCACAAAGGGCAGCATGCACCCAGATGGTGGGGCCGACACGGCCGGGGCTGGTTCCTCGCTGTTTCCAGACGGCCTTGTGGAGCTAAGACTGAATGCATTTCAGCATAGATGGCCACCACAAAATTGTACATTGGCTCCCGGCCGACCTGGGCCAGGGCCAAGGCAGCAGGGGCCATTCCCTCACTGTTTCCAGGATGGCTTCGCGGGCCACATGAAACCACTTCGCGGGCCACATCCGGCCCCCGGGCCTTGTGTTTGACATGTCTGGTTTAAGCAGTCCATCAGGTCCAAATTACCTAAATTGTTAAAAGTCTAAATTATTCCTAAACTTTGGGAGAAAACGTTCCAAAGAGTTGCCTTGATTCTCCCAGCAGTTTTTTTTTTTAAATTGGGTCTCTCTTTCTCTCTTTGACAGCTAATCAGGAGGAGTGGAAAGTGTCCAAACTAAAGGTAGATCTTTTGATTGAGCGAAATCATTCGTTGTTGCTCTTTGGTTGACCTTGCTTAAGGCAAATCTGGAAGGTGGGCCTGTTGCATTTCTGGGGAAGGGGTGATGGCAACAGAGTGGACCACAAAATAAAGGCCAACATTACCAGGCTGGGTGAATTCAATTGCTGGGCCTGGTGTGTGAACCGAGCTGATAGGAAAGTAGGAGAAAAAGAGAGATTTTTGAACAAAGCAGGAATGGCGTGATAGCCTCCTGAAACATCTCGAGAACTTGGATGTATTTTGATGGACACGCTTGACCATCCCCGGATGGTTCATTCAGAAGATTGCTTCACTTCTTTCTCCATAACTTTTTTTTTTCCAGGAACACAGACAGGCCTTTGAGAGGATGTGGCTTGGATTCCTGAAATACCAGGTAGGGGTGTTGAGGATCTCAAAGGTTGATGGTGGGCTTAGCGTCACACCTGAGTAATAATTTCATCCATCTAAGTCTGACCTCAACTGCACCTTGATAAGGAGAGATTAGAATGTTTCTTGAGGGAGGGAGGGAGAGAAGGGAGGGAGGGAGGGAGGGAGGGAGGAAAGAAAGAAAGAAAGAAAGAAAGAAAGAAAGAAAGAAAGAAAGAAAGAAAGAAAGAAAGAAAGAAAGAAAGAAAGAAAAAGAAAGAAAAAGAAAGAAAGAAAGAAAGAAAGAAAGAAAGAAAGAAAGAAAAAGAAAGAAAGAAAGAAAGAAAGAAAAAAAGGGAAGGAAGGAAAATGGAGAAGAGAAGGAAGGAAGAAAAAATGGAGAGAGGAAAGGGAGGGAAGGAAAGAAAGGAACGGAAACAAGGGAAGGAAGGAAGGAAAGAAGGGAGGGAGGAAGGAAAGAAAGATAGAAAAAGGGAAGGGAGGAAAATGGAGAAGGGAAGGAAAGAAGGAAAATGGAGAGGGGAAAGGGAGGGAAGGAAAGAAAGGAATGAAAACAAGGGAAGGGAAGGAAGAAAGGAAAGAAGGGAGGGAGGAAGGAAAGAAAGATAGAAAAAGGGAAGGAAGGAAAATGGAGAAGGGAAGGAAGGAAGAAAAAATGGAGAGGGGAAAGGGAGGGAAGGAAAGAAAGGAACGAAAACAAGGGAAGAAAGAAAGAAAGAAGGGAGAGAGAGGAGTAGGAGAAGGGGGATAGAGGGAGGAAGGAAGAAAAAAAGAAGAGAGGGAGGGAGAGGAAGGAAGGAAGGAAAATAGGGAGAGGGGAAGGGAAGGAAGGTCCCGGCATTACTCAGCCTTTCCACCAGACCATGCTTGAAAGAAAGACAGCTGACTGTCGCCTCCATCGCCCTTACCCAACATGGTCCACCTTCTCTCTCTCTTTCCCTGCGTAGCTACCTAGAAACCTCTACAAAAAAGTCTTGCTCATCCTACATGACTCCATCTTGCCCCATCTGAACGAGCCCACCCTCTTGATGGATTTCTTGACCGTGGCTTACAACGTTGGTGAGTGATGGTGCCAAGGATGTGTAGGGTTGACCTTTTGAGTTTAGCGAAGAAATGATGGCGCAGGAAAGAAGACCCCGGGTCTCCAGCAAGAGGTTGGGTGAACCCGTCAGCATCTGGCATCACATCTGGTGGCGCTTCTGCTGGGTCTCCCGATAAATAGCTCTAACTCCCTTTTTTTACTTAGCAATAGGTTTCCTGCTTGAGCAGGGTATTAGACTAGATGACCTCCAAGGTCCCTTCTTAAACCTGCCTTACGCTTCTCTTTCAGGTGGAGCCATCAGCCTTCTGGCCTTAAATGGACTCTTCGTTTTGATTCTCCAACATAATCTGTAAGTGCCTTAGCAGGTCCTAGAAAAAAAAAAACCCTATTTTTTTTTAAACAAGTTTTATTAATTTTTCAAAATTTTTACATACATTTTTTAACCTAACCAAGTTGTAAGGAGGTTTGAGAGTTTTAAAGCTGGTCTCTTTTTGAGCTTCTGTTCTGAAAGTTGGGACGCCTGTATTGCAGGGGTCTTCAAACGTGGCCCTTTTAGGACTTGTGGACTTCCAACTCCCAGAATTCCTCAGCCAGGCACGCTGGCCTGAGGAATTCTGGGAGTTGAAGTCCACAAGTCATAAAAGGCATGCCTGGCTGAGGAATTCTGGGAGTTGAAGTCCACAAGTCATAAAAGGCATGCCTGGCTGAGGAATTCTGGGAGTTGAAGTCCACAAGTCCTAAAAGGGCCAAGTTTGAAGACCCCCTGCTCTGTTGGGAATGTTGGAAAACAACATTCTTTAAGTCAATCTGTTGTTGAGATTTTATTGTTGATGTTGTTGTTGTTGTTGTAGGGAGTATCCAGAATTCTACACGAAACTGTACAGTCTCCTGGACCCCTCCATCTTCTACGTAAAATGCCGTGCGCGCTTCTTTCGTTTATTGGATCTGTTCTTATCTTCTTCGTAAGTCAAAGTTTCATGCTTCCCCAAGACCTGCTTTGTATTGTGTTTCCCATCAGTTATCCCATAATAACTTCGGTGTAGAGTTTGTTTCCTTGTACGCATCTCCAGACCAACTTCTGGGGGGGGGGGGGAAACCTCAAAGAATCAATGAGGCCAGCTTCCTCCATTTCAATTCCTCAGCTGGCTGAGGAATTCTGGGAGTTGAAGTCCCCAAGTCTTAAAGTTGCCAAGGTTGGAGACCCTTGAACTATAGTGTTTTATTCATTCAGGATTGACCGCTTCTAAACAGGAAGGTTATTTTTAAGGAACTTTATGCTAGCATCATGGAGTTGTGTGGCTTATGGGTAAAAAGTAGCTTTCTCTTAGTGTCCTTATCTCTTCTCTTTGTGGGGCCCTTGGTGCTCCCAGAGCGTGGCTGTTTTCTGGCAAGACGTTTCATGACCCAACTAGGTAACATCATCAGTGCTAGAAAGGAGTGGGGTTTGTTTTCTGTTTATGGACAAGTGGTTTGCCCTCTCAGGCTTGGTGGGAGTGTTCTTGGTGGTTCCTTGATTAGGAGGTTGTTTGCTGTTAGCTTGTTTGTTTGTATTGGTGGCTCCTTGATTGAGGAATTGTACTGGGGTATAAACAGAGAGCAAACCCCACTCCCTTCTAGCACTGATGATGTTGCCTAGTTGGGTCACGAAACGTCTGCAAGAAAACCGCCAAGCTCAGAGAGCACCAAGGACCCCACAGTCGTCGTCGTCGTCGTCGTCGTCCTCCTCCTCCTCCTCCTCCTCCTCCTCCTCCTCCTCCTCCTCTTAATAAAGCTGTCAGATAAGGATATTGGATTATTTGAAAGCCGTCTGGCCAAAGTTTGATTTTTCTTCTCCTCCTCCTTCTCCTCCTTTTCTTCCTTCCTTCCTTCCTTCCTTCCTTCCTTCCTTCCTTCCTCCCTCCCTCCCTCCCTCCCTCCCTCCCTCTCATTTTCCTTCCTTTCTCTCCTCCCTCCCTCCTTCCCTCCCATTTTCCTTCCTTCTCTTCCTTCTCTTCCTTCCTTCCTCCCTCCCTCCCTCTCATTTTCCTTCCTTCCTTTCTCCCTCCCTCCCTCTCATTTTCTTTCGTTCCTTCCCTCCTCCCTCCCTCTCATTTTCCTCCCTTCCTTTCTCCCTCCCTCTCTCCCTCATTTTTCTTTCTTCCTTCCTTCCTTCCTTCCTCCCTCCCTCCCTCCCTCTCATTTTCCTTCCTTCCCTCCTCCCTCCCTTCCTCCTCCTCCTCTTCCTCCTCCTCTCTGCAAACTCTACTCCCTTCTCTCACGGATGACATTACCTTGTTTGCTAATGAAATGTCTGCAAGAAAACCACCCCGTCTTCAAGAAAGCCAGAAACCAAGAGTACCGAGGGACTGGTACTCAGTTCAGCCCTGAGCTTACGAATATTCTCTTTCTTGGCCTCTTCCGTTACTTCCAACAGGCACTTGCCGGCATATCTGGTGGCAGCCTTTGCCAAGCGCCTCTCCCGCCTGGCACTCACCGCCCCTCCTGATGGCTTGCTGATTGTCATTCCTTTCATCTGTAACCTCTTGAGGAGGCACCAGGCGTGCCAGGCGCTCATCCACAGGCCCAACGGCCCTGCAGGTGAGAACAACGCAGCTCAAAAAGGTTGTGTGTTTTCATTCACCCCGTTGAGGTTGACTGACTCGGAGAAGGAAGGGTAAAACCTGCAAATTTGTACCGACAGCCTGGATTGTATCTCCTCAAGGATCTGGTGAAGACACTGGAGAACATCTGGCTGGCTTTGCTCTAGTTTTCCTTGCTCGGCGCACAAGGCAGCCTCAGAAAGCTCTTCGCTATTAATACCACTTTACAATGCCTTGGTAAGACCACACTTGGAATACGGCATCCAGTTTTGGTCGCCACGATGTAAAAAAGATGCTGAGACTCTAGAAAGAGTACAGAGAAGAGCAACAAAGATGATCAGGGGACTGGAGGCTAAAACATATAAGGAACGGTTGCTGGAATTGGGTACGTCTAGTTTAACGAAGAGAAGGACGAGGGGGGACATGATAGCAGTGTTTCAATATCTCAGGGGCTGCCCCAAAGAAGAGGGAGTCAAGCTCTTCTCCAAAGCGCCTGAAGGCAGGACAAGAAGCAATGGGTGGAAACTAATCAAGGAGAGAAGCAACCTGGAACTGAGGAGGAATTTCCTGACAGTTAGAACAATTAACCAGTGGAACAACCTGCCTCCCGAAGCGGTGAATGCTCCAACACTGGAAGTTTTTAAGAAGAAACTGGACAGCCATTGGTCCGAAATGGTGTAGGGTTTCCTGCCTGAGCAGGGGGTTGGACCAGATGACCTCCAAGATCCCTTCCAAATTTTTTTTTTTTATTATTATTATTATTATTATTATTATTATTATTATTATTATTATTATTATTATTATTATTATTATTATTATTATTATTATTATTATTATTATTACTATTACTATTATTATTATTATTATTACTATTATTATTTCTATCCCAGCCATTCCCCACAATGTGGGTTTCAGCAAGAGGGTTCCCTTAGAAATCAGGGTTTGAGAAGAAACATCTGCCACCTCTTGGGATGGTGGAAGGCAAGGAGAAGTCCTCACCCCCCCCCCCCAGCGCTACAAAGCTGTCATTGGTGGCTTATTCTGGTTTTCTTTCTTTTCTCTTCTTTAGAGATGCCGGAGGATCCTTACAAGATGGAGGAAACAGACCCCTTGGAAAGCAGGGCTCTGGAGAGCTCCTTGTGGGAAATAAAAGTAGGTTTTCGCCTAAGAGGAACTTGAGGGCGTAGTGGGATTCTGGTTTCATAAATCCGGGAGGAGGGAAAGACAGATTGAGTGAGCAACATCTGCACCAGCACAAACATCTGTGCCTTTAGCGGTCACTTGATCCCCCAAGAACAGAGCAAGCCACTAGTATATAAACAGAAAACCCTACTCCTCCTAGTACTGATGATGTTGCCTAGTTGGGTTATGAAATGTCTGCAAGAAAACCACCAAGCTCAGAGAGCACCAAGGAGCCCACAATCATCCTCCTCCTCCTCCTCCTCCTCCTTGCACTGATGATATTCCCTAGTTGGATCATGAAACATCTGCAAGAAAGTAACCAAGCTCAGAGGGCACCAAGGACCTTATAGTTCTCCCCCTCTCCCTTCCCCCTCCCCTTCCTTCACTCTGCAAAACCCACTCCCTCCTGACATTGATGATGTTGCCTAGTTGGGTTATGAAACGTATGCAAGAAAACCACCAAGCTCAGAGAGCACCAAGGACCCCACAGTCACTTGATTATTATTATTATTATTATTATTTATTATATTTTTACCCCGCCCTTCTCCTTGCGGACTCAGGGCGGCTAACAGCCTAATAAAAACAAATACAAAAGTACAAAAATATTACCATTAAAACGTAATTAAAAGGAAATATTAATTTGGCCTTTGTTATTTTAAAAATTGTTTTAAAACCCAACTAAAATCTGCCGTCTTTATTTCTATTTATGGGCTTTATAACCCACCGCCCACCCCCAAGATGAAGGGAGTTGGGTCTGTGGTTTCACAGTCCAGTGCTGAAAGAACTTGGTAATATCCCACAATTAGAGAAGGATTTTGAAGCATTTCATGCTTCAAGTCTTGTCTCATCTCTTGTCAAGAAATTTGGTATTTGACTTGGCAGCCCGACGGGGTTGGGGGGGGTGGGGGTTTGAGAGGGGAACTGGGTTGCGCAAGCAGCGGGCCGGCGCACCTGTGCCTTCCACTCAACTTGCACAAGTTGAGCTGCACGTGTGTGTGTGCATACGTGCCAGCCCGCCACGCGAACAAGTCAAGCTGCGCACACAGGCATGCTGGCCCGCCAATAAATAGGGGGATCCCTGGTGTACAGCGCCTGCATTCCTAACTGCAAGGATTGGCGAAAGCATGGAGAGGGTATCCTGGTTTCCCAGATGGAATGATGGCTATTTGTCCAGGCGGATATTCATGCCAGTCCACCCTTTCTTCCTGTGTTCTCCAGACGCTGCAGAACCATTATCATCCTGACGTTGCCAGGGCTGCTGCTGAAATTAACCTGCCTCTCTCTCTGGTGGAACAGGATTTGTCCGAGAGCCTAGAACTGACAGCCTTTGAGGTAAGTATGTCCCTATGAATCTGGGTCCTCATTTTACCGACCTCAGAAGGATGGAAGGCTGAGTCAAAGTTGAGCCGGTCAGGATCGAACTCCTGGAGTGAGCAGTGAGTTATCCTGCAGTGCTGCATTCTAGCCACTGTGGAAGGAAGGAAGGAAGGAAGGAAGGAAGGAAGGAAGGAAGGAAGGAAGGAAGGAAGGAAGGAAGGAAGATTCACTTAACAAGTCTGTTGCCATCTTAATAACTGAAGTGATTGCCTTAGCAGCCTTAGCGAGAAAGGTCATAAAATGGGGCAAAACTCAATTAACAACCATCTCCCTTTAATGGCTTCTGTAAGTTGACCAACTATATTTGAAGAGTTCCATGCTCCTAACCCAGGGGTAGGCAACCTTGGCTCTTTGATGACTCGTGGACTTCAACTCCCAGAATTCCTGAGCCAGCCATGCTGAGGGAAAAGGGAGAGGTTTTCAAGCTGAGCCATGCTGGCTCAGGAATTCTGGGAGTTGAAGTCCACGAGTCATGAGGGGGCCATAGTTTCCCCCATGCTGGCTCAGGAATTCTGGGAGTTGAAGTCCACGAGTCATGAGGGGGCCATAGTTCCCCCATGCTGACTCAGGAATTCTGGGAGTTGAAGTCCAGGAGTCATGAGGGGGCCAAAGTTTCCCCATGCTGGCTCAGGAATTCTGGGAGTTGAAGTCCAGGAGTCATGAGGGGGCCATAGTTTCCCCATGCTGGCTCAGGAATTCTGGGAATTGAAGTCCACGAGTCATGAGGGGGCCATAGTTCCCCCACGCTGGCTCAGGAATTCTGGGAGTTGAAGTCCACGAGTCACAAAAGAGGCAAGGTTGCCTAACAAACCTGGATCCGATCCAGCGTTGGCTTTGCAGAACTCTTGCGACAGCCTCGTCAAGTACAAAACCCTGAAAAGCAAATTAGGAAATCCATGTTGGTTTGCCTTGATAATTTTTTTTGTCATTCCTCCATGGCTACAGTGGCAGCCAGTTGGTAGTGTTTTCTCAAATGCAGTCTGGGAAAATCTCAAACACAGCCAAGCTGGTATTGATCGTGGGAGGAAAAAAAAAAGGGAAAAAAAGAAAGTGAGCCGAAAAAGAGCGAGTCAACATGGAAAATAAATCGATTTTTTTTCCTTCTCACCCTCCCTTCTTCTCTCCCCCATCCCCAAAGATATTTGATAAGGACATTAAGAAAGAATCCGCAGACGTTCCGTTGGAATATCGGCCAGCCCGAGGCTTCTTTAGGGACAAAGGTGATCTCTTTGCAGAATATTTTTCCCTGCAGTGACTGTTTGGGGGGTAACGGAATGCAATAAATACTTTCTTCTTTTTTTAAAATTTAAAATGTTGGGCGCTGCAATCCTTGGTGATCTATGATTGTGACTGCTTGTTCCTTCACGGTTGAGAAATGGTTCTGATTTGTTGTGAATTTTAACATTGGCCAGCAGAGAGCAGCAACAGTTGTCGGAAGTTTTAAGGGAAAAAAATGGAAGGCCTGCCAGCAAATCATGAAGCTCAGAGAGCATCAAGGGCCCCACAGTCATCCTCACTACAAACCCCATTTCTTTCTAGCACCCATAATGTTACCTAGTTGGGGCATGAAATGCCTGCAAGCAAACCACCAAGCTTAAGAGGGCACCAAGGACCCCACAGTCCTCCTTTTCCTCCTCCTCCTTTCCACAAAGTCCACTCCCTTCTAGCACTGATGATGTTATCTAGTTGGGTCATGAAACATCTGCAAGAAAACCAAGCTCGGCGAGCACCAAGGACTCCATACTATGTCTTTTCTGAACCCTATGAGGCACACAGCCCTAAAATACACTACTTTGTTCTCGTCCTGGCCAAGGGTGTTTGTTCCTATCGCTGTCGTTCCTCGAAGTTTGTTCTTACATAACAGAGAATTTCCATGGAGTTGCGCTTGTCCATGACTCGGATATTTAGCTGGAAGGCAATTCTCAATACCAGCTGACTGAGCATGAATTCAATAGAGGGAAAATGGCAGCCGGGGGGGGGGGGAACAGAGAGATCTTTCAAAAGCACAGAATTAAAGCAGAAAGTTGAAGGGTTAAACACTCAATAACTGAAAAATGAATTGGAACCATCAGGAATGCTTCATTCACTGCATCGGTGAGGTCACACATGGATCACTGCATTTGGTCCCCACGATAAAAAAGATGTTGACGCTCTGGGAAGGGTGCAGAGAAGAGCAACCAAGATGATTAGGGGGCTGGAGGCGGAAACGTACGAAGAACGGTTGCAGGAATTGAGTGTGTCTAGTTTAATGAAAAGAAGGACTAGGGGTGACATGATAGTCTTCCAATGTGTAAGGACCCACCTCAGCTAACCACCCAAGAAAACAGGCATTGTCTCAAAAGGAAACTTTTATTAGGGGTTAGTGAAAGTAGGGAAGGCAAGGCGAGATCTGGGTGAAATCCCACGCAAACGGTATAGTTAAGCAAGCAATCTTCTCCCACCAAAGTCATAATGTCCATTTGAAATCCAGGCAATCCACAGGTGGCACGGTGTGTGGGTAACTGGCACAGGTTGGTGCACATCTCAAGGTCTTCTCCAGTTTCCGTAACGGGTAGAAAGCAAAAGTTATCCCAAGCGAAAGCAAATTCCCCCCTCCCCCCAGCAGAATGGCAGGCCCCAAAACAAGCATATATGCAAGAAAAACAAAGGTTTTGGGGACTTGACATGCGCCCCCCCCCAGAAGAACGGGAAATCCACCTAGATAGAAAACAAAAAGGGAACAGAAACAAACAATTCAGGCGTATCAATTATACGGGATATTGAGAGTGGAAGCGTCTTAAAAGTTTAGGGGCCGTAACATGTTTCTTGTTCACCCACACTCGTATTTGTGAGAATATTTTGATGTTGTGGTCTCTGCAATCACTAGCGAAATATTCTTTTCTTCTACCCATCCAAATAAAATGGCTTTAACACGAAGGTCTTCGTCTCTTAACAGTGATTTGTTGAACACTGCTGGAATATTTTTCTGAATAAAGAAAAACAAAGCCGGTTAATTCTGGTTGGTTGGTTAATTCTTGCAGGTCGTTGTCCTACCCTGTCTGGAGGGCGCAACTTGGTGGGAAATGTTGAGAGGGGTCTCATCAAAAGTGATTAAAATCCTTTTTGATGGGGATATAAATGTATCGGACCTCTTTTGAAAACGTTTGTGGGTAGGAAAGAGTTCCAATAATAGAAAAAGGAAGAAATAGTTTCAAATTTGAGTCATTTTCTTTGGCTGGGTGAGACACTATGTATCAGAAACTCTATTATAACATTTTAGCAGAATCCCTAGAAAGCAAAACAAAACAAACCAGTCCTGGATATTTTTTTTCTTAAATAACAGATTTAAGGGAAAAAAATAACAAATTCAAAATAAAACCAAGGGCTGCCTGGCAAGATTGTGACAAGGTGGAGAAGATGCAAACAAAAAAAACAGAAAAAGAGCTTTGAATTTTAGGTGGAGGGGACGACCCACCCAACAGAAGGGCAATCTGTTGCAAGAGAGGCAATCCCCATCATCCCCCAAAAAGCTGGCTAATGGGACCTGTAGTACAAAGTTTCTCCTATACTGTACATAAAACCATTTTATTTTTATTATTATTTTGCTATGTATTACATTTTCAGATTTATTTTTGTAAAAACAGCATTTTAAGCAGAGGGGGGGAACCTGCTCAACAGGAGCAAAAAAAAAAAAACTGTTGCAAGAAGGGACCATCCCTATCAACATCCCCACCCCACCCCGGAGGTGGCCGATGGAACTTGTAATCCAAAGCATTCCTCTGGGTCGCTCAATCCTAAAATGCACTGCTGCAAAAATGATGGGGACATTTTAAAAACTGGGGCTTTGCAGCGGGGGGGCGGGCGGGAAGGAGGCAGCAATCTGCAACCCTATTCCAGCCTCTCATGCACAAGGGGAGACCCGCCGGCTGCCTGACGGATAGGATTTGTAGTCCAAGACTCCCCTAGGTGAGGAGAAGGCATTGCAAACACACACACACACACACAAACTCAGAGCCAGCGTCGCAGCCGCCGAATCGCCTTCACCTGTGCGGCGTAGGCGCACCTGGCCCTGATGAGCCTTCCCGCGCGCCGCGGCCGTCTCCATGGCAACCGCCCCGCGAGCCGGGGAAGCAGCTGTGTCTGAGCGCGCGCCTCCCCAGCCCAGCGCCCTGGAACCGCCTCGCGGGCTCCTTTCTGCACGCCCATCTCGCCCGTGGTTGGCTGCTCCGAAAACGCGCCCCCTCGGATTGGCGGAGCGGCCTGTCCCTCTCTCCGAGAGGCGGGGACCGTTTAAAAAGACGGCGGGCTCCTCGTGCTGAGTGCAAAAAAAGAACCAAAGCGAGACGCCGCTCCCGCGTCTCTCGGTCCCCGAAAGGGACGATGCTTTGGGGCTCCGGGGGGCCCAAAAAAGTCTCCCTCCGGCGCTCCCGCGGCCCAAGCCCTCGAGCTCGAGGCCGGGCAGGGCCTTTTGAGCTTTGAGGTAATTCTAGCGGAGGCTTTTCTACGTTGTAAGATACGTGAGGGGAGCGCGAGTTCTTTAGCTAATGAATAGCTTTTCGTTCTCGGGGAGTCAGGATAGCAGCTGTGGTAATTTTAAGCGCGGCGTGTGTTCTTAGTAAAACGCCAGGGGTGGCTGGGGTAATATAAAACATATAAAGCATATAAGGCTAACAACATATAAGGAACGGCTGCTGGAATTGGGTATGTCTAGTTTAACGAAGAGAAGGACGAAGGGGGGATATGATAGCAGTGTTCCAATATCTCAGGGGCTGCCCCAAAGAAGAGGGAGTCAAGCTATTCTCCAAAGCCCCTGAAGGCAGGACAAGAAGCAACGGATGGAAACCAACCAAGGAGAGAAGCAACCTGGAACTAAGGAGGGAGGGAGGAAAGAAGGAAGGAAGGAAAGAAGGAAGAAAAGAAAGAAAGAAAGAAAAAAGAAAGAAAAAAAAAAAGGGCAACGGATGGAAACTAACTAAGGACAGAAGCAACCTAGAACTAAGGAGAAACTTCCTGACAGTTAGAACAATTAACCAGTGGAACAACCTGCCTCCAGAAGTTGTGGGTGCTCCAACACTGGAAGTTTTTAAGAAGAGACTGGACAGCCGTTTGTCTGAAATGGTATAGGGTTTCCTGCCTGAGCAGGGGGTTGGACTAGAAGACCTCCAAGGTCCCTTCCAACTTTACTATTATTATTATTAATATCTCAAGGGTACTTTATTCAAAGGACGCCAATAAGGTCACTAAAGATATTTATTCTCGGTCTTTCCCTCGGGGGAATAACGCAAACCGCGGGGTCTTGAAGTAATTCTAGCCAAAGCGCAAGTTCTTAAAATTTGGGTGGAACCTGAGGTAATTCTCAGTCGTGTCCTTTTAAAAAGGACCAAACCACCAGAGGTGAATAAGAGTTAAAATTAGGTTTGGAGTAAAGTCTGAGATAATCTTAGCCCATGTCCTTGCAGTAAGCTGGGTAATTTTAGCCAGGTGTAGTTAAAAGAGCTAATCTGCCACAGGTGAACAAGCAGTAAAATTAGCTTAAAGGCAAAATGGCTTCGGTCCCTGGAGTTGCCCTTTCTTGAATAAAGTCAGCTCTTTGGACCTGAGGAAGTTTTAGTCAAGGCTGAAATCCTTAAAAGAAGCAAAACATGTAGAGGACTAATGGCTTAATAATAATAATAATAATAATAATAATAATAATAATAATAATAATAATAATAATAATAATAATAATAGTTGTAGTAGTAGTAGTAATAATAATAATAATAATAATAATAATAATAATAATAATAATAATAATTAATAATAATAATAAAGTTGGAAAGGTACCTTGGAGGTTATCTAGTCCAACCCCCTGCTCAGGCAGGAAACCCTATACCATTTCAAGTAACTAAAGGCAAAAGTTAACTAAAATTACTTCAGGTCCTGGAGTTGACCTTACTTTCTTGAAATAAAGTCAATTCTGGAGGCCTGAGGTAATTTTAGCCAAGGCTCAAGTTCTTAGAGCAGGGGTCTTCAAACCTGGCCCTTTTATGACTTGTGAACTTCAACTCCCAGAATTCCTGAGCCAGCATGGGGGAACTATGGCCCCTTCATGACTTACGGACTTAAACTCCCAGAATTCCTCAGCCAGCATGCCTGGCTGAGGAATTCTGGGAGTTGAAGTCCACAAGTTATAAAAGGGCCAAGTTTGAAGACCCCTGTCTTAGAGTAAAATATTGGTGGAACCTGAAATAATCTCAGCCATGTCCTTTTAAAAGGACCAAACCACCAAGGGAATAAGAGTTAAAATCAGCTTGGGGTAAAGTCGGAGGTA